AGCGTAAGTGGGGTAGCAACCCATGGTGGAGCGTACCATGAGAAGCTGGACGTTGGTATACGCTCCATCCCGGCGTGTGAGTAGGATCTAGGCTATGCAAATCGTCCCTGAACTTATTGTGGTGAAAATAACCTCCCAGGAGGAAAGTAGCCTGTACCGCGGGACTTCGGAGATGATAAATTGGATGGTCGGGGGACGTCTGGGTGTTAACTAAGCAGAGTGCCCGGCACAAGACTGGGGTACTTGTGCCAGGAGGTGTGAACTTGGGTCTAGACTACTAGCCTGTTGGAGGCGCTATTTAGCGTCGGTGAGCCGGCAAAAGAACTGAAAGGAACCACAACCCCCGCCGGACACTCGGATTGGGAAGGCCGAGTATTCCGTATACCTTCCTGAAAAAACACGAAAAACAAGTGGCCACGGTCCAGTTGCCGTAGAGATCATGAGGATGGTGAAGAAGCTTGGAGGATGGAAGCAGAAACTGTGGAAGGGAGACAAGTTGGAGCTGCTGCTGTTTGGGATTCCAAGGGNACGGCGCTTGCGTGGTGATGTTGCTGTGTTGTTGCTGTGTTGTGTTGTGGTGTTGTGTCGTGTTTTGTGAGATTCAAATTGGGTTTGTGGGTGTGTGGTTTTGGAGGCGTTTGGAGTCGTGCAGATTTTATTTGCACGACGGTCGTGCAAATAGCGGTTGCCCTTCCGGACATATATCTCTCGGTTTAGCCTCGCTGCTTTGTGCCCTGGGCTGCGGTAGGCGCGTCCCCGGAAAACCAAAACGCCAAAGGCGCCTTCCGCGCTAGAGTGTCGAGCGGTCCAGTTGATGATGTTCCCCGAAGACTAAAGCTCCAAAAAGTGTGTCAGGGTGCTTTGGTGGGGTGTAGGCCCAGTTCCGCGGATTAAATTGAGTACCCGACGTCGGGATGTTGAGGTTTCAGCGATATGTAGTGTTTTATACTGCAGAATGTATGAAAAAAAAAAACGTGGATGGGGCTAAAACGTCCCTCCCCTTTGGAAAAACGGCGATAAAACGTGTTTTTAAGGCCATTTCAAGCTCGTTTTTTTAGGCTATTTGATGCGTACAACCGCGGAGATTGACCACAAATACCCTGTATTACATATGTGGACATTTATTTCACCGACGTGCTTGAAAATAATGTATGTTGTGCATTATACATATAGAAAAAGACAGCCCATTTCGGCGACAAACCGTGAAAGTATCAGCCACAGACGCCGGCAAATATTTGTTTTCTCCTGCTGAAAACCCTTCTTTGATATCCCAAACCCCCAAAGGGAGACGACCTGCCGCTGCATATGAACAGCAACATGCAACAAACAGCACACAGCAACAAAAAAAGTACAAAAACTGCAACAAAATCACCCAAAAAAACAAAAGAACATGGAAGAGAACAAGGCGCCAAACACAAGAACATGACGTGCACCACGGACACCCCTCAATTCCCTACACCACAAGACGCCCGAGTAACCTTGTGCTTGCCCGACACAGCCTTCACCATACCCACCATCCCCGCGTACTTCTTGGCCGGGACGCAGTCGTCGTAAGCTCCAACACTACACTTCGAGCAGTAGCACGACGCCTGGCGAACGCGTAGCTTGTATCGCTTCGTGACAGCCGGAAGCGTCAGAACGGTTGATTCGTCCGCCTGCCATCTCTGCGGGTTAGCTACAACCTCTTTCTCGCCACCTACGAGGAAAACCCCGTTCTCTTTCTGCACCTCTACGCCTACGCCCGAGCTCTCCTCCTCCTGGACCTCCGCTCCCATGAACTGGTACAGCTTGGAACTCCCAGAGATGCCCGTCAAATCTACGAACGGGCGAGGGATCTCTCGGTGTCCAAGAAGCTTGATGTGGAACCTCTTGATCCGGTAGGGGTCCAGCTTGAAAAGTGACCTCCTCCATCCTCCTTTGCCTCGGCGTAGACTTGGAGGAAGTCGGCTGCGGCTTGGGTGTTGTGAATGCGCTGGCCCCTTTTCTCCGCTTCTCGCAACAGAGCCTTCAGCAACCCCCCGATGCCATCGTGGGCGCCTTTGAAGTGCGACGTGACCGCGAAGTTGTGGATGAGGACGGCACCAAGCCTGTGCAAGCTCTTCGCCACAGCGTAAAAGTTGCGCTTCCCCTTGTACTGTTTGGCGCACCCGTCGGTGAAGATGTGCACCGTGGGGACCGGTGTTCCAGCAGTATCGGCCCGCCCATCCCCCGTGATGTAGTACCGAAGGATGATGTCCATGGCGTAGATGTGGAAATCGAAGTCATGGTTGGGGTCACTCGATACGAATACCCATGCGTCTGTCTCATGCCGACCGTCGTCGTCAGGACTGTGGTGAACTAGAGCCACCATCATGGTCGTGGAGGGCGCAGTGGCGCACGTCAAGACAGCGCCAGCCTCGTGCTTGTACTTCTCGATAAAGTCGGTCTCCACCAACAGCTCGCCTTTGCCGAACGTCGCCAGGCACATGTTGTGGGCTTGGCGCTGCCACTTTGCTAGCTCGTGGTGATGAATGTACTGAGGGACGAGAAACGACCGGGGGGAAAGGGGGGGCGGGGCAGGAAAACATAATTGTAAGCCGCGCGATTAGTTGTGTTGATGCACGATTGACTACATGCCTCCAGCATTTTACGACGCCCATTCCACATGCGGTTCCTTACTTCACCTTCTTCGAGTGCTCCACAAACTCCTTCCACAGGTCGTCCAGTGTTCCGGCCTGGGGTATCTGCTGCTTCTTGTGCACCTTCCCATCCTCCATGACTTGATCCTCGAATCAAAGCCACCCGACTAGTCTGTCCGCCATAGACCCCAGGGCATCGCATTTCATGGGGATGCCACCTGGGTTGCCAAACCCGCATTCGGAGCATTCCATCGCAACGCATGCGGGCTTCCTCCCCCAGTGCTCAAACCTACCCCCTCGGTCCTCCTCAAGAAAGTCTACCTTCTCGCAAGCCAAAGCCTCTGAAAAGCTGTGCAGATCTTTACACATGGCCATCCACTTTCCACACCCACTCCCCCCGTCGCACCACTTGCACGTGCAGTCACAGTTGGCATGCATTGCAGGCATCAACATCTCGAAGGCCTTCAGGTACAGCCCCTGCTGCGTGTGGATCTGGCATGCACACTGCGATACCTTGGGTTCCACTGTGACACACCAGAAGCGAACAGTTGAAACGGACAGAGGGGAGGACAACAGGTCAGCAGAGAGGCCGTCCTCCTGGGGCGGTGACACAGCAGAAGAGTCCATTACGCTGGAACGGTCACTAAAAAAACGGAGCTCTCCCCTCATGTCTACCCACCTAAAACACCCACACCGCGTCGAGAGGAACAGCGTCCGCCCAGGGTCCGCGAAGCTGCTGTCTTCCCTCAGCAGCTCCGCCTTAAGCCCCAAGTACTCCGGCCACTTCAGAAACTTGCGCCACACTTGGTCCCCCGCAACCATGAGCTGCCTACGGGGGTGATACTCCTCCCCTGCCTTCTTGGACGGCCTCCACATAGCTTTCGTCCCTACAGGGGTGTACGAAAGAACAGCAGTGTGCAGTGTAGCAGCAATAGTGAAGCTACCTAAAGGGGTACAGAGAAGTGTAGATGATACGTCACGTCGACAAAAAACGGCAAAGGAGATACCCCGATCTACAATTAATTGTACAACGACAGAATTTGATAGCGCTTACCGGAGTCTCCCGACGCACGAGAAATATCGTCAGAGTGCCAGAACCTCCTCGCCAAACCCATGACACGTTCGTCCATCTTGTCGCTCCTTTCCTTGCGAGGAGCCCAGAGGTATCTCCCCTTCTCCAAAGCTTCCTGTGGAGGTATGGTGTGGTCAGTTCTGTGCATCCGGGTACGCGCTGCACGGAACGTGCCGTCTCTCACACCGAGACCCTGTGCTCGCGCGGCAAGGCTGACGGCACCCTGCGGCTCAGCAGGTGCGCACGGCTCATCCGGGGTGCAAGGGTCATCAGGATCGCACGTGTGCTCCGCTCCAGCAGCTGCGGCAATGACGGTGTTGTAGGCAGCGCGGCCGATGTTGCTGTGGGAGTGTAGCTTCAGCGTCTCTATAGAGGCGACCAGTGCGCGAATGTTCTCCGCATCGACAGCAGCCTTCGTCGCCGCTGCCTCTCAAAGTTCTCCGACACACAGTAACTCCCTCAGCTCCTCCTTCAACACATCATCCTCTAACACGCTCTGCTTCACCCCGTCGCGGTGCCGGTCGATAGCCTGCTTGGTTACGATAAAATTTGAAGCAGTTTTGACGCGAGAGGGGGGAAATGTAAGGATGGGACTCAATAGTTTCGTGGGAAGATGGAGAGCAGGGGAAATATACCGGAAATACAGCAGGGGTGTAGCCTACACGGAAATTCAAACATTTGAAAAATACGCAAGATATCACCCTATCTCTTGCCATACACCGCTCTGAATTCACCATTCGCCGTTGTCGTGGAGGAGTCGTCGTGGGTTGTGGGCTTCTCCTCGGTCCGCTGAAAAGAAGCGCCTCAAGCGGATCGGACCGAGTGAGACGTGCATCGGCTCCTAGCCTTGGACATCGTTCGGCAGCAGCAGCAGACATAAGCAGCAGCAGCTGATTGACGCCGTTGTTATGTCCGTGTGTGTGGCCCGTCCGGGTGACAGCAAGCAGTGCGTGTATGCGATGTGCCAAGCGCTGCGTGCCCCCTCCAGAAAGGGGCATGCGTGCTGGCACACAACAGGTCATTACCTGAGTTGAGTATAAAAGGGTTGGGGTGGGTGCCACCGCAGCAGCGGCAGCAGATCTGGTGGCGGCTCCTTCCGGTTTCTTCTTGCGACGTTAGAAGCCCGTTCTCGGAGGTCATCAACATGCTCTCGGGCCATATGAACAACGCCCTCGAGGTCATCCACCACAGAGCCTATTGCCTTGGTAGCCGCAATCTCAGTGCCCTTCTGCAGCAGCGTGGAGGTCAGCTGATAGCCCCTGGTGTGCATGCGCCATCTGTGCTTGATGACCCTCGCTTCTCCCGCAATTTTGATGTCGCGCCTCAGCATGGTGGCAGTAGCCGCCACCGTCCAGGCGACGGGAAGGGAATGAGCAGCATGTCGTCGAGGTGGGGTCGGGAGACCCTGCAGTAAGTTCCTCTATGGGTAATTCGACCAAGCGGAGTCGATTGGCGGGGTGTACAAGTCGCTCCGAGTTGATCTTCCCTGTGAATTGAATCCCGCCGCATTTATTTTCGTCCAAAAGTGGCGCGAAAAATATATATATATATTTTTGTACAAGCTGGGCCAGTCAAGAAGCTAACATTCAGTCTTCCAGCCATAAATTTTGAAGGAATCAGAATTGGAACGAGCTCGGCACATCTGCTGAATCAGCCAATCACAGCAGATTTGCCCATGCC